TGGGTGCAGACGGTGGGGGTGTTGTAATGCAGTGTCGGCTGGATGTGATTCAGGTATCCCATCCACCCGTGTAGCATATTCTTATTTTGGAAAGTAGGATGTGGGGACTGTTGGCAGACAGGGCGGCCGGGCGGATGGGGCGTGTGTTTCTCGGGTGCTGCGTGCGGCACGCTGGCCTGCGGAGGCCAGCTGCCGCGCAGATTCCGGCTGCCTGTGCGGCCGGCCACTCTCGCGCGTGCGCGCGCGCGTGTGTGCATCCGGCCGCTTCTGCAGACAAAACACACACGCGGACTCGCTGCACCGCTGCTGACCGCGCGTGCGACCACGCGCACGCGCGGCTATGGGGTAGCCCCGCTGCAGGGGCGGGGCCCTGATTTTTACTGCCATGTGACACTGTTTTCTGGCAACCGGTTTTCTCATGCAACACAACCGCCGACACACCTCTCCACACGCACGCACACGCCCACCGGCACGCACGCACCCGCACGCTCACCCTGTCCCGCCGCGGCTCGTCCATCCTCGTCCATCCCCCAAACCTGCAGCGGAGCTGTGGCGCCTCCTGCGCAACCTGATGCAGGGCGGCGACGGCGCCGCCGTGCGCCTCTCCCTCGGACAGTCCCTCGGCCGCGCGGCCGGCCTGCTGATGAAGGGCCTCGACAGGGCGCAGCGCCAGGCGGGCGCCGTGCCGCCACCACCTGTCGGCGGCGGCGGCGGCGCGGGGACCAGCGGTGACGTCATCGGGGCGGCTGGTGACGTCAGCAGGGCGGCCGAGGCGGCGGCTGTCGGGGAGGCGCTGGCCAGGGCCAGGGTCGACCTCGAGACGGTGGGTGGCTGATGCAATGCCTGGCCCACCCCTTGATACGCATATTGCCCTCCAGATGATTATCTCCGTGAGGGCAATTTGCATGTATAAAGGGCTGCTGGGGAACCAGGGGTCGTAGCCAGGGGCCCTGGGGGGTCCGTCTGGTTGAGGGGCCCAGGGGTGGGACAAGGCGGGTCTTGGGTTCAGGGTTTAGTGAGTTGATGTACAACAAAGATGCTTTGCATGCCAAGGTCATAAACCGATTGGAAGGGGGTCAAAACAAACAAGGTGCCAAGGCTTACCTTGACCATCTGATGCACCAGGGAGCTGGCATGGCCATGCGCAGGGGCCCTATCAGGCACCCCGCGGCCGCGGCCGCCTGACCGGCCGCCTGCACGCCGGCCGTGCACTGCAGGGACAGGTGGCGACGCGGTATCACAATGTC